TGTTTTCTTTTTGGATATTGGAATGTAAGAAACTGAATTTCGGGAAATATATCATCGGAGGACGAATTGGCAACAAAATAAAATGGCAACAAAATAAATGCTCTTTATGAATATACATGAGGTGGAACAAAAGCAATTAAATTAATAAATAAAAACATGTTTTATAACCATTCCATATTTTCTGAAATTCCAAAAACAAATGTTTTAATGGCAGTCTTTTCTTATCAATCCTATAATTATAACAATAATAATAACAATAATAATAATAATAATAATAAATTGTTATTAAAGACCACAAGCAAAAACGGTGCCTCCTTATTGATATGGCAGTCCCTGCTGACTGCAATGTATCTTTGAAGATATTCAAAAAGCTGTCAAAATACAATGACCTTGAAATAGAAATCTCGAAAATGTGGCATATGGGAACATCAACAATCCCTGTTGTAGTTGGAGCCCTAGGACTGGTTGGAAAAGATTGCAGTAGACTAATTGAAGGGATTCCTGGAAGTTCATGCTTCAAGGAGATACAAAAAATTGTTCTGTCAAGTACAGCCCACACTTTACGAAGAGCTTTATCTATGTAATTTCTTTTTCTTTTTTTTTGTCAGTGGAAAGTGTCATGATGCCATTTCTAACCTTAGGTCCCTGGGCCTGACCGGGAAAGAAATGTGTAAACGCCAGAAATCAAAGAAAATAATAATAATAATAATAATAATAATAATAATAATAATTGATAATAATAATAATAATAATATGATAAAAAAATGACCACTGTTACATATGAAAGGGTTAGCCACAAAATCATATGTGACTGACTTTTTTTCTATTCTTATATAATTTAAGCATAGTTTACCTGTACAAAGTTATAAAGTTTAATTATGCAGAAGAAAAAACAATTATCCATTTATTTATAAACTAAAATTAACATGGCGGATAAAAATGAGTTAAGACCTGCCTAAGCAGACTCCGACCCGCGGGCTACAGGCAGCCCGTCTGATGCATTTATATGGCCTGCAAGAGCACAACAATAATTATATTCTATATTTTTATACGTGTTACGCAGAATAAATATCTATAATGATAATTTTTGGAGGTTCACCTATCTTCAAAGATTTTATACAGATTAAAAGGAAAAAGAGCTGTGGAATATTTTGTTTTTCGCGTAGGCTTGGCAATGTCTAGGGCAGGCCTGGGCGAAATACTGCCGACGGCTCCGTGTCGGCCAGACAAATGAGTTTATATACGGCCTGAAAGAGGACAACACACATCTTTTGTGTATGTTTTCGATTAAATGTTGCTCAAAATAATCTATTCCAAAAAGAAAGAGAGTCAAAACGAAGATCATATAGATTTAATATTAACTTTCATTAAGGAAATCAGAACATATGTCTCAGATGACAGATTTAAATATGTGCTTACTTGATATCAACGTGTAAACTGAATCCTTATTACAATTTACTAAGTAGATAAGTTTAAGTAGATAAATGTACAAATAACATTCGTATGTATGATTGTTATTTAAAGTCCTAATTTTGAAGCTATTTTTAGGGGGTAGCATCATACACGAGATATAAAAGCGTATATACTGCTGACCCTGTTTACACCATTGACCAAAATATATATTCATTTACTGTCGTCAAATTAGATTCAAAATTAGGTTTTCGAAGGTCGTTTGATACGCAAGTATATACGGTATATTATTGTGAAACTATAGGAGTAATGGATAGCGTCTTCGCTTGCGGAATCGGAGAGCCGAGTTCGAATTCCTGTTGAATCCGTTAAATTCACTTACGTACCCTTGAGAATGGTATGAATCCTCTTCTTCTCCCCCAGCTATGGGTAAATAGCGTGACAGACTGGGTTCTATAACTTTGAATGGCAACTGGTCTACCACAGAAAGAAATGGCAACCTACTGCTGGAAAAAAAATCTGCTTCGTCAGTCATGTATCGCGCATGGCACACGACTGACTGACTGATTGTTTTATTGGCAAGACACCCGCTCTGTGTCGAACTGACTTTAGAGAGTTGAGTTAAAAGGAGATAACTGAAACATCCAAAAGAAGCATGGCACGTGGAACTAGAACAGTCTACTCTGGCGGACGAAATAAAGGATTCAGTTCGAAATTTCAATCACCTGAAGAAGGCAGGAGAGTACACCAGCCGAAACGTCGTGAACTTGACAATACCGATGAGGACAACAGTCCGAACAATGTAAATAATGTAAATTATTACAATTTCTCTTAAATATAGACATATATTGAAGTTATAATCAGTATTACAAAAAAAAAAAAGAAAAGAAAAGAAAAGAAAGATAAATTTAAAATCTTACTTATTATAAAACGCAGATTGTGTGTGTGTCTGTAACGTTTATATATTGGATCGGATTTACTACATTTTTCAACCGATTTCAACAAAACTTCACAGAACTACATAAAATTACCTTGTGGTGGTTCTAACAGCGCCAAAAATGAGAAAAATATAATTGCTTTTGCACAAAATCAATTTGAAAACACGATTAAGAGACATCGTGAAAATGGAAGGGGGACAACTCACATCGGTTTGTTTGTGTGTGTGGGTTACTTTAAATATCGGAGCGTATTTCCTATATTTTTCAGCCGATAAAACAAAAATTCACTTTTTTGGGAGGGGGCAGGTAGTGTTTCTTATTGTCTTGCACACTTTTTTCTTTATTTTTAACATTCAGAATGCTTTAAAAATTCCATTTACAAGACAATTGTTTATAATAAAATTCTATTCAATCAGTAGACTCATAACGATTGAAAACAATTTTTTTGTTTGAGTTTGTGTTTGACCAATTCGTAAAAAATAAAAATAAAAAAATAATTAAGACATGCGTGTCCGTCAACCTTAAACAATGATCTAACGATCTCTACTGATTGTACGAATACAAACATCGGAATAAATTCTTTATCTTTAGGAAAGATAATGAAATCTAAACATACACAAGTCTTAACTAAAATAATAACCGGAACGGGAAACTACTTTAAATACACATGGTGTCCAATTTTTTTACTGTATTCAATAAGTAAAAATCATAAATTGTAAAAGATTATTATTACAGAAAGGCTACTAAATGAATAAGATTTGTTAGATCATAATTAATAAACCCAAATAAAGTTAATATTTTTTGTATTAGAAACAACGAGTGGAAAATATATTCAAATCAGAATTCTAATTATGAATCACCACAAGCAAAATATGCAATTTTTTTTTACTGTATTCAATAAGTAAAAATCATAAATTGTAAAACTAAAAGATTACAGAAAGACTACCTACATTTTTCAACCAATTTCAACAAAACTTGACTTTTGTTTTTGGCAGGTAGTGTTTCTTATTGTCTTGCACACTTTTTTATTTATTTTTTAATTTAGAATGCTTTAAAAATTCCATTTACAAGACAATTGTTTATAATAAAATTCTATTCAATTGGTAGATTCATAACGATTGAAAACAATGTTTTTGTTTGAGTTTGGGTTTGACCAATTCGTAAAAAAACAAACAAAAAAAAAAACTAATTAAGACATGCGTGTCCGTCAACCTTAAACAATAATCTTTATCAATTTTATTTTTCAATCTTTATGATGGTCGATACTTGATCTATCTCTTACTGTTACATCCCCGGGCAACGCCGGGCTCTACTGCTAGTTGTTAATAAGTTTTGGTTGACTTTTACTTTGTTCTTGTAAAGTATTTATTTGCGCTTGTAATTAAATACTGTTTTATTTTTGTTGTAGCCTAGGAAAAGTTTACGGAATAAGAATATCCAAAACGAAGTTTGGAAATGGAACGGTAATCATTATAGCATCAACAACATACAAGACTCGCCAGTGGTATGTAGTAAGTAGTTAATCTCCTCCACTTAGAGTATATTTCACTGTATTTATAGGGGTTAGGACATACTCATTATAGTCCATACGTACGGTATAACAATTTTAACATTGAAATCTTGAATTATACTTAATTATTAACGGTTACCGTACGTTTGCAAAATAAAGAAAAATTGTCCCCTTGACAGGAATCCATCCTGTAACCCCTTTTCCTCCAAGAAAACCGTTTCTATAACCGAAACGTGACTTTACCAATTCTGTGGAGGGGAGACTGATTCATGTCTTTGCCGAGGATATTCATGCGAAAGTGAAAGCAACAGACTAGCTGCAAAATTGAACTCGGGCCGCGGTTTCCATTTTCTGCACGAATATCCGTTACGCTACCCACACATCCATATTAAAATCACGTTATTCTCTTGTTCATATTTTTTTTGGCAACCTCAATATCAATTAACATCTGTGTTCGTTACATTATTATTTTATCCAAAAACAAATCACTGTTTCTCGGATCAGCTCACAAAGTAAATACCAACGCCTGCTTCCTTATTCTTGTGAAACCTCCCATGACGCGTTCAAATCTCTTACTTCGTCGTAACAATTAACGACTAGAGTTGCGTTCCGTTTTCAATTTATTTTGTGTGTGTGTTTTTCATGCACCCGAAACATCAGACGGATAAGCTTCGTCATTTTAATGCACGATGAGAAAAACTTATAAATACAATACTGAAACGCAACCTCTGCCTGCTTTTGGTTTCCTTTTTTGTAAATAGTCCGTATCTGTTTTGTTGATCGTATGACATTGTTATCATCTATGCGGGGCGTCGTTTTCGCTTCTCTTTCACCCGACGTATTTTCACATCAATCTCTGTGTCAAATCACATTTCTCTCAATTAAACTATTAAGGGCTGAGATTAAATGAACTCTCACGACAGAGTCTTACTCAGCATCGCTCTCACCATATCCTGCTCTTTCTATCTATCTTCCCAGCGTTATGCTATCAGTACCCTGCTCAGGATAATCAGAGGTAGAATATTGCAACTCGAGATTTTCCGATAGAATTCCATTGAAAGTTATATCGGCGGCAACGACCAAAATTGTATCATGTGAGAATTTGCACAGCATTTAAAAAAAAACATTATGCTAAGCAGGAATTAAAACGAGTGAAAAGAAAAGAAAAGAAAAGAAAGAAAAGAAAAGAAAAGAAAGAAAAGAAAAGAAAAGAAAAGAAAGAAAGAAAAAGAAAGAAAGAAAGAACAGGAAAAACGAGATAGGAAGAAGAAAAAATGTGTCGAAGGGATAAAAAAAAAGTGGAATAAAGAAAACAAACAGAAAAAGAGAAAAATAGAACTAAGTAAGAAAGAAAGGCAGAAAGAAAGGCAGAAAGAATGAAAGAAACGAAACGAAAGAAAGAAACGAAACGAAACAGGGACAAAGATTGAGTGAGATAAAAAAAAGAAAGGCGAAACTAATAAAACAAACACAAAGGGAAAAGTAGAACTGAGAAAGGAAGAAAGAAAGAAAGGCAGAAAGAAATAAAAAGTAGAAACGAAGCATAAACAAAAATAAGTGAAAGGAAAAGAAAAAGTTAGGACTAAGAAAACAAACAAAAAAGAGAAAAGTAGTAAATTTAATACTAAGTATGATTAAGAGAAATATTAAATTAAACCCTCCCTAAACTCTACCATGTCTCTCTAACCACTGCTTATTACACTCTCTGTTAAATTACAAGAACTTACACTACCCAACAATTTTCATTTCATTTTTCGTTTCATCTTTTGGAAGTGCTATCTGATGATCCGGCGTCCTTTAAAAGGGCTCTGGTGAAATAAATTATTATAATGGAACATAAAAGTGGTCAGTTTTTCTTTAAAATATTAGCTCTGGATTTACACTGAGCTCTCAGGATTTCATCCTCCTTGGGACTACCCATACGGATTACCAAGTTTTCATAACTTAATTATATATATATATATATATATATATATATATATATATATATATATATATAGACGGTTGGTTCAGACAATTTTTATCGACAGAATCCATCTTGCACATTTATACATCTACCACGCGTCCGTTTCGGTGCATATTGCTGCTATATATGTTTGGGTGCTCCGGCTTTATGTCTCGAGATTTATAACAAAATGGTTTGTAAGCTGACATCTCAGCATCCGTCATTTTCCCATCTTCGTGATGTGGCTTCCTTCTATCTTTTCTATAAAATATTTTCATGGCAGTTGTTCTAATGTTCCTATGTAGCTCGACCGTATGAATTTAAGCGTCTTACTAGACTGATTTCTAGGTCTCATTGTTTTACTGTTAAAATAGTTAAATATAACTGTAAGTTATATTCTAATTAGTATCTTTTCTCGCTGGATTCTGAATTCTTACTTCCCTGCCAACTACAATATTCAAAAATTAAAATGCAACGTTAATCGCAGTATTTTGATTTCTTTTATTGTCCTTTCTCTCCACTAAAGTCTTCTTCTCTTTAATTCCCAGTAACTCCTTGCACCTTAGTGGCATTATCGTCTTGTTTGGGGCGAAATTATTAAAAACAAACATCCATTTGTGACATTTTATTATGAAAATAGATATACGCTTCATGTATTGGTCGTTTTTGTGAATAATCAGTCATGAACAAAACTTTGAATAGCATCTTTTCTGATCATTTGCCAGTTCATGGGAAAGTCACTTACTTAAAACGGCTTATAGGAGGAATTATAAGCTTATCTTTTTAATCTTATAAAGATCTCAACTTATTATTCTAGAATTATTTTCTATAATTTTTCTGAACTGATCAACATTGAAGCTTCATGTCTTCTTTTAAATATCTGAATATTTTTTATCTACACGGTAAACTTTGTGAAACCATTATTTTTTTATAAAAGTGTGATATTTTTCTTTCTCTGATTCAATCACATTGCGTTTGTCTTTATTTAAACTCATCTCAGAAAAGAGTAAGTCTGCTTGTTTCTCACAAAGTATATTACGGAATTTGAAAAAAAAGAAGGTTATAATGAATAGACAATCTGGTGCTGCTAATGCTGCTAAATCTGGTGCCATAGAGGCGTTGATCTCGCGAGAGTAATCTTGTCTCTCTGGCTCTCACGGCATTGGATGAGAGTCGGGACATCATCCAGATTAATCTGTTGGAGGTCCCGGCGGACGAAGTCGTTCCAACGTCTGCGTGGTCTGCCGCAAGGCCATCCCCAGTTTGCAGATTGCGGGTTGAACTGGTAGATGATTCTGGTAGGATGGTCATTAGGTCGTCTAGGTCATGATCGAGTCAGCAAAGACGGTGCTGAGCTTCGGTGTGGTGGGTGCTTAGTTGACCGGTCTTCCGGCGGAGTTCCTCATTGGACACAAGATCGGACCAGTGCACACTATCGATGGTCTTGAGGATGCGGGAATCGAAGCTCTGGACGCGGTAGGGTTTTGTTGTGCCATCTGAAAAAGGAAATACAACCGTAGGACAGCAAATGATAAAATTACGCGTAAATGCACCTACTTTAATCGATATTGACAACAAAAAACTTTATGAATTCGTTGCTGTATTTAATTAAATGTTATACAACAATTAACCAATTAATAAAGGGAAAAAGATACAATATCATAGATATCTTCAATTCCTCTTGATAGTAGCAAGTCATGAATCATCGTGAATCCGACACATCATATGCTTTAGTTTGGTTTGATTTACGGCATATCAACCTCAATGGGTTATTTAATGCCGACAAAATTTTTACTGCTGGTAATACTTTGTTTTGCCAAAAATCTATTTCTGGTAATAATTTTTTCTTCAAAAATGTATTGCTGGTAATAATTTTTTTCAAAAAATGTATTGCTAGTAATATTTTTTCCTCAAAAATGTATAGCTGGTAATATTTTTATCCAAAATGGTAATATTTTTTTTCAAAAACGTATTGTTGGTAATATTTCTTTTTTTTAAATGTATTGTTGGTATTATTTTTTTCTTCAAAAATTTACTGCTGATAATAATTTTTTACAAAGTATTTCTGGTATTAAAACTTATTTTTACACTTTCATAGTGTTTTTACCCCAGTTTCGGGGTTAACTATTTGCCCATAGCTGGGATCCTAACAGGTGCTACCACCCCGGGTCTGGGTGGACCTGGTAACACCAGCAATTAAGAGATGGTTCCACGCTCCTAAAAACCTCCTGATCAGAGGCCTTGCTGCTGGACGTAGTTTATCGTCTTACCCAGGATACGGATGTAGTTTATCGTTATACTCAGGATATCCCATTGGAAGTGTCTTACCTCTCTGCAGAGGTGCAGTCGCCGTATTTTACAGCCCCAGGTGACAGGGAGACATCATATGCAAGAACGTAATACATGAAGAAAAATGGCAAAAGATACAATGCACGACTTCTTAACTTCATCATTATAACCTGTTATACCGGAACGTACCTATTCTATAGTAAATAGACTCTCTCACAGATAAGTAGTAGTAGTAGCAGTCGCCAGTGGAGCTCAGAGTGAGTTGTGTGAGTCAGTCGATGTCGGACATTAAATGAGCCCCACAACTAGATTGCTGCGTCATTAACTATTATTTCAAGTTCCTAACGTTTTGTACGTCGAACCTAATTTAGGGTCGACTTAGTGAAATACAAGCCTCCACTGTGAAAACTACTCTACAACATAACCATAAATCATGAATCATTGTCACTCATGTGCTACAATGTAATACAACACAAATATCTATTTCAGTTTTACAAGATCTGGTGTTTAATTTGTTGGGGTTTTTACGTATTTTACACAGATATAAGTTAATAATTAATCCGATGATTTAACATCACTGTCACATCCTGTCTGGTGCTTCTGATATGTATTTAAAATTTCTTGATAAAAATTCCAAGAATCTGCTATATCATCGGTCTTGACCTCGTATCTCGGCTTCAGTAACACTTCCCCACTACTATAATGTAGTTCTCTCTTGTTCCTTTTCTATAAATATTTTCATGGTAATTGTTCTGATGACCTTTCCTCTTTGACATCTCGACTTTAAGCGCAGCCGCTGTGGTGTGTTGGATAATGGCTCGGAATAAATAGATTGGAAAGCCGAATTTGAATTCCTCTCAGAATCATTACATTTACTTAGGCACAAATAACATCGGAAAAGATATGAATCCATCTCTTCACTACCCAGATATAGGTTGAATGGCAAGGAATACTGGGCCCTATAGCATTGGTTCGCAATCAGTCTACGGTAAAAAAAAAAATTGGCAACCTACTGCGGGAAAATTTTTTGCCTAGTCAGTCATGAATCCAAAGAGACATGATCTTTCAAGCAAGTATCATGTAGGACACTTGACTAGCTTGGCATCAAGATATCATTTTAGAGTTGAAATTGCTATGGTCAACCGTAAGTTCTATGCTAACAGTTTCTTCTCTCGCACTTCTCGTTTGTGGAACTCTTTTCCGACTTCATGCTTTCTTGTCAACATTGATCTTACCAGAAACGAATGAAAATTAGTTTGTTTAATTATGTTACTAATTGCTCATTGGTAAACCAAAGCATATATTAAAAAAAATTATTATACTAAAACTTTAACATTTTGAACCAAAAACATAAAAAGTGTAAAAAAACGAATCAAGAGAAGGTTATTTGGAATGTAACAGACATTATAGTCCTACTATATCGTAAATCCTGTAATTCTTTATGGAACTGCAGCAACATCCTGATAAAATACTCTTACGTAGCCTATTAATCTTCAGGCTTGTTTGCAATTCAGTTTTACTTCTCCGAGGTTAGTTGCTACTGCAAGTCAAGACAGCCGAATCTGTCTAGCTATTTAACTCATAGCCGGAGAAAGATGGATTCATGCCTTTCTAAGGGTCTTAGTGCGAAGTGAACGCAACAGAATCGATCGAAAATAAGAACTCGGCCCGCTGAATTCACTTTCTGCGTCGATAAGCGTTGCATTCCGCACATATTTGTGGCGGCTTGGTTTCAAATAAAATTGACTTCAGCAAACATCGATGTTTAAATAAATTATATCCTAAAGAAGTTGCCACAGACATTTTCCGTTGGTCTGTCGATATACGTTCGTGTGTATGTCGAAGATTTAAGACCCAAATCTAAGGTTGAAAATATGTTGTCCAGTGGAGAACTATACATGAACAATACCTGAGATCAATGCTGATTTGAATGGGCTTGAGGGTGGAGGGCGAGTTTCAGGCTTGTAAAATATCGGTACCTGCTGTAGAATAATGATTAACATGTTAATGTCGACATCTATACCTTGCAAGTTCGTTCCTCAGAAGGTATTTCCTTGCAATTTATTTTACTATATATTTCAAGGTGAACATTTTGATGACAAAATTCCTTGGTAGTTATGCGACTAGAGTAATGCATAGTAAAATATTTGACTAAAAATGCATTGCAAATTATTTGAGTATAAAAATGCATTAAGGGCTTTACGGTTATATCACGTTGAAACGCTGGTTTCCGTAAGAACACTGAGGTTAAGCAGCGTCAAGACAGCGTTATTACCTAGACGGGTTACCGCTTGGGAATACCAGGTGTTGTAAGCTTGGATGTGCGGGTGGTGTAATGATGATAATGGCTCGGACTTGTTAATCGGAGAATCAAGTTCCAATTCTCGGGTTCCTTATATTCATTTACGCCCAATTACCCTTGGAAAAGGTATTGATCTATTTCTTCTTCCCCAGCTATAGGTTAATTAATACGATTTGTATCACTAAATTTTTATTATGTCCAAAAAACAAATTCTTAAAATCTAAAAACATTTGCTAGTGTTAAATAACCAGCAATGGTTTGATAAGCCGTAAAAAATGAATGATTCAATCAAAAAATGCATTTTATTATGCTATAAGAATGTATTATTATGGAAATTTATTGCAAATTAATTTACTATAGTAATGATTTCTGAATTATTTTACAATAAGAATACATTGCAGATAATTTTACTATAGCAATGTCTTTCAAATTATTTTACTATAGGAATATATTACAAATTACTTTACTAAAGGAATTCATTGCAAATTAATTTGCTATAGAAATTCATTGCAAATGATTTTACTATAATCCTGTATAAAAATGTATTTGCTTTATAAGTTGTTGATGAGTGTTATGGTCCAGATTAGGACCAAGAAAGAACAATACAAGCACAAGAGTAGAAATAACGAAGGTATATTACACGAAATAATAATACAAGAGGTGGAAGGTGTTAGTATGACTGTCAGTCTGGTTTGGAGTGAACTACTATCGGTTCGACTTGATTCGGTATCTAGCCACCCCCCCACGAGGGTTGCATGTGGCACAAGGCCGAGTTTAACGTGGGTTTCCCGAGCCAGTAGGCTCGACCAAAAATGCCCGTAGAAACCGTATAAACGAGATCGGGTTGGTCAACCTCCCCGAACGAGACTATGCCCTTCGGCGGAGCCTCGTCCGGGTTCCTCTCTGCTCAGAGGCAGAGAGTTCGACTGTCAAGCCGAGAAAGTCGGCTCGATTCGACCCTCTCTCTTGAGAGGCTTAGTATACATAGTGTTAGAAAGAGTTCATTCTGTAGTTATAGGTAAGGACCCATGGCAATAAGTATTTTTCTATAGAAACTCGTTCCAAATTAATCTTATATCCGATAGCAAGGCCTCTGATCGGAAGATTAGAAGTTTTGTGCAGCGTGGAACCACCTTTTAATTGCTGCTGTTCCCAGGTCCACCCTGACCCATCGTGGCAGCACCTGTTGGAGTATCAGCTATGAGCAAATAGTAAACTCCCACACAAAACCAAAACCCTATGAGGATATAAAAATACTAACAATACTTTCTTATATATTTAAAAAATTACCAACAATACCCATTTATTAGCAACAATATATCTTTTATAGTTGAAGGCTTAGAATTGCGTTTTAAATATTTAGATTTCAGCATTATATAATCTATATGCCGCTAAACAACATCAGTCGACAAACCAAGCAAGCAACCAACCAACATGAAAGAAATGTTTCATGAAATTAATCCATACAATCGTTTAAAGGAATCAAATTGTATTCCAAAGTATAATTTCAACAAAACTACAACATAAAACCTACATATCACCGCCTCTATTATTTATGTCCACACAAACATTTACATATACAAAAGCTGAGTATCATCTACCATGTATTCAATTGTGAAAGCAGAATAACATTTTTATTATTTCAAATACCCACCAAAAAATAAAATTTTGGCATTAAATGTCTCATAAGGTGTTGATATGCCGTTAAACAAACAAATTAATCTCTATCTATAAAAGGCAGGATGTGTGTGTATGTGTGTGTATGTGTGTGTGTGTAACGAATGCACGGCCGCAATTTTCGACGGATTTGCACCAAAATTTACATGCACATGCGCCAATTAAGCGGGAAGGCCAAGACCGACTATGCATTTCCCAACTTCCATCGATAGTGGAAATAATCGTTTTTTTTTTCATGCTTCTACGGCAGTTTTCATGTAGTTTGCGGTCATTTTCTACTAGCCAGAGTGAGAGCCTATAGCTGGCCGCCACGAATAGGCAGGAAGATTCTATTGGCCAGCGTGAGAGCCAACAGCTGAATGACACGAATGTTAACTAGCATGCTAGTATGCAAAAAACAAATCGATACTTGCTTTCGTCACAAGTGGGGAAAAATTTAAATCTGTATGGCACTTTACTCCAATTGGCTCATACGCTTGCTTAAACTCAACGTTGATTCTGATTCCACAGAACTGGGTTGGGTGTGAAAAAGTATTTGTTGTTAACATTCTTTTTTCATTCAGTTTTTCCAGTTACGAGTCCTTTTTTAAAGCTGATCGTTTTGTGTTCATTTTGTTTAGTTCTTTTTTCGTAACAGATTTAATGTTTAGTATAGAGCTTAGAAAAAATTTGCAGTGTGAGATAGGCAAGAAGTAAGGCATGTAGCAACATCAGCACATCAAAGGACACTCCTTTAAAGGCAAGGAAGGGCAAAGATATTTTAAGTCAAGTGATAGCGATTGTTGTATGCGTCGTACGATTTTTGAATCAAGCACGGGCAACGCCGGGCCATGCTGCTAGTTCCAGATAAAAGCTGTTATATAATCTGATATCACAGGCTGAATTTTTCAAGCATTGCTTTTAAACTGTCAGTCAATATAATGACTGTGATACAGCAAATGCTGACCTGGTGACACAGACGATATAAAACGCATAGAGAGAAATCCATTGGAAAGTATTTTACAAAAGATAGTCACTGCAAATTATTTACACTACAAAAATAGTTTAGTATAGAAACACATTGGGAGTCAGATGAAGTTAGAATTGCATTGTAAATTATTTTGATAGTATCTGTTCACGTAATCTGTTATATCATTGATATAAGCAAACACTTCATTGATATAAACAAAGACGCCGTTGATTAAACAAACACTTTAAAAGCATTCATTCGCTTTAAATACTGGCAGCACAACTTCCGGTTGTGGGGAAATTTTAAAGTGTATGTACAGAGTGCCCAGTAAAAAGCGGTAAATTCAGAAGGGAATTTATTTAGCTATCATCGTTCATGCATAAACTTGCTTGAATGTTCAACATAAAGTTGTAAACGTGGTCACCAGGAGGACTTTTGCGGATAGTGTCAAGATGAATTTAATTCCAAGCTTCAATTATGTTCCACCTCACTGAATCAATATCGACGATGTCACGACGACGATTTTGCAAGTCAGTTAGGAGTATACTTCAGATGCAGTAATGCATAGGGATTGGATGCGGCACAAGGGACACCCAGTGAGGATCGAACTCACTACTCATTCGTAATTGTTTTAGCGAGACAAGCTTGCTAACTATTACACTACCTCGAGGCGCCCAAAGTGATTTTCCAAGCGTAGCTCAGATTTGGCACAAGGCCAAATGTTTGAGGCACCCAATGAAGATCGAACTCACTATGCAGCCGTAATTGTTCTAGCCAGAGAAGCTTGCCAAACATTACACCACGACGAGGTAACTTTCAGATCTGGACTTCTAGAGGGACACTGAGATGGACTAAATAGAGCTGGAGTATTTTCTCGAAAAATAAGTTTTCCGTGACGGTATTCTAATCCTGTACCTAGCCTAGCCGGTTCGGGGGGATATGTTAAACAAATTTCAGACTCGAGACCCAAATGGCTATACTTCGATACCTCGTGCTTAAGGCGTACGTAAAAAGGGAAGTACCGAATGGATTTAAGCAATTTTGGGAGGGCTGGTCGAAATCCTACTTTAAACTTCAACTTTGTGTCAGATTCTACACGAATGGACCTACGGATAAGAGTTCTGGGTGTGTCGATAAACTAAATCCAACAAAAAAGCCTCTGATGGGGAGATTGGAGGTTCTGGGGAGTGAGGAACCATTTCTTACTTACTGGTGTTCCCAGGTCCACCCTGACCCGGAGCGGTATTATCTTTTACAGTCCAAGCTACAGGCAAACAGTGAACCTCAAAACAAAACACTATGAAAGCAATACATTTTTATATATAAAAAAAAGTCCAGAAACACCTATTTATAGTAAAATATACGTTTTATCTGTAGTATGGCATGACATTGTGTTCAATATAATAATCCATAGAGCTCTCCTCTGCGTGTGGTCGATAACCTTTGGAAGGAGATTTTTTCTACTAGCGTTTACTCAATACAAGTCTCAAGAGTCCTTCAAGCTAGAGGGTTACTGAAGGATGTGTAATATGAATATAAGTGTAGGAAGTAGAATGTAAAGGCTATGTGGCGGATAGATAATGTCTGCCACTTAACATGAACTGGTCAACATTTTAGTGTTCGGAAAAGCATTCACGCAGTGGGAGTCTGTTCCATGAAGCATCACTTTTGGTGGAAAGGCCGACTGAGTGGAACTTTCCTTTTAAAAGACGGGGTGAGCGGGGGTGGGGGGTCTGGACTCCGTTGACGCAGCTTGGCTATTCTTAGCTGGAAAGGTCTAGACTGGTGGAATTAATTGCCACATGGATATAGTAGCGACGTGGCGTATAATGAGAAATGGACTGCGACCAAAGGGGCTGCAGGGTGGAAAATCCTTTTTTTTTATTACCCGAAAGCCGCGTAAACGACGTTGAACCCTATCAAGGCTGGAAAATGTGGATTAGACATTTTCAGTTCAGATATGTCAGCACAATAATTCATAACTGAAAGCTAAAACAACAACAAAAGTGTTATGGTTCAGGAGTTCTTTGTACCACGGTGATGGTCCAAGGTTAGAACCAATGAAAGAAAAACACGAACACAGGTATAGAATACAAAGATATATTACAACAGAAATATAATACAAAGAAGTAGATTAGTAATGACTATCAGATTTAGTTAGAGTGAACTATGTTGTCTCGACAGGTATCACTATTCCAATGTCCTTACAATATGCTCTCAATTATCTCTCCTCGTCTTACAATCTCCTCATACCACTTGAGAGGTGCAGTATTTATAATGTCAGCAATAGTCCATTATTATTATGGGTAAGTTCCCATAACAAAAAGCAACAACAAAAACAACAACAGCGGCAACATCAGCAACAACAAAAACAATATCAGAAAAC